GGTCATTACATAATGATAAGGGATCAATTCAATAAGAAGAGTTAATTCACTTAAATATATATGCACCCAATACAGGAGCATCCAGATTCATAAAACAAGGCCTTAGAGACTTACAAGCAGAGTTAGACTCCCACACAATAATAGTGGGAGAATTTAACCCACCACTGTCAACATTGGACAGATCAACAAGACAGAAAGTTAATAAGGATATCCAGGAATTGAACTCAATCCCCCCTGCACCAAGCAGACCTAATAGACTTCTACAGAACTCTCCACCCCAAATCAACAGAATACACATTCTTCTCAGCACCACATTGTACTTATTCCAAACTGGGACCACATAGTTCGAAGCAAAGCACTCCTCGAGCAACTGTAAAAGAATAGAAATTATAACAAACTGTCTCTCAGACCTCACAGTGAATCAAACCACAGAACTCAGGATTAAGAAACTCAATGAAAACCACTCAACTACATGGAAACTGAACAACTTGCTCTTGAATGACTACTGGGTACATAACGAAATGAAGGCAGAAATAAGATGTTCTTTGAAACCAATGAGAACAAAGATACAAATATACCAGAATCCTGGGACACATTTGTGAGCAGTGTGTAGAGGGAAATTTATAGCACTAAATGCCCACAAGAGAAAGCAGGAAAGATCTAAATTGACACCCTAACATCACAATTAAAAGAACTAGAGAAGCAAGAGCAAACACATTCAAAAGCTAGCAGAAGGCAAGAAAATAACTAAGATCAGAGCAGAACTGAAGGAGACAGAGACACAAAACCCTTCAAAAATCAATGAATCCAGAAGCTAGTTTTTTGAAAAGGTCAACAAAATTGATAGACCACTAGCAAGAGCAATAAAGAAGAAAAGAGAGAAGAATCAAATAGATGCAATAAAAAATAATAAAGGGAATATCACCACCGACCCCACAGAAAATACAAACTACCATCAGAAAATACTATAAAACTCCTATAAATAAACTAGAAAATTTAGAAGTGAAATGGATACATTCCTGACACACACTCTCCCAAGACTAAACCAGGAAGAGGTTGAATCCCTGAAGAGACAAATAGCAGGCTCTGAAATTGAGGTAATAATTAATAGCCTACTAACCAAAAAAAGTCCAGGACCAGACAGATTCACAGCTGAATTCTACCAGAGGTACAAAGAGGAGCTGGTACTATTCCTTCTGAAACTATTCCAATCAATAGAAAAAGAGGGAATCCTCTCTAACTCATTTTATGAGGCCAGTATCATCCTGATACCAAAGCCTGGTAGAGACATACCAAAACAAGAGAATTTTAGACTAATATCCCTGATGAACATTGACAGAAAAATCCTCAATAAAATACTGGCTAACTGAATCCAGAAGCACATCAAAAAGTTTATCCACCATGATCAAGTGGGCTTCATCCCTGTGATGCAAGGCTGGTTCAACATACTCAAATCAATAAACATAATCCAACATATAAACAGAACCAAACACAAAAACCACATGATTATCTCAATAGATACAGAAAAGGCCTTTGACAAAATTCAACAACCCTTCATGCTAAAAACTCTCAATAAATTCAGTATTGATGGAACGTATCTCAAAATAATAAGAGCTATTCATGATGAAACCCACAGCCAGTATCATACTGAATGGGCAAAAACTGGAAGCATTCCCCTTAAAAACTGGCACAAGACAGGGATGCCCTCTCTCGCCACTCCTATTCAACATAGTGTTGGAAGTTCTGGCCATGGCAATCAGGCAAGAGAAAGAAATAAAGGGTATTTGATTAGGAAAAGAAGAAGTCAAATTGTCCCTGTTTGCAGATAACATGCTTATCTATTTAGGAAAACCCCATCATCTCAGCCCAAAATCTCCTCAAACTGATAAGCAATCCTTAGCAAAGTCTCAGGATACAAAATTAATGTGCAACAATCACAAGCATTCTTATACACCAATAACAGACAACCAGAGAGCCAAATCATGAATGAACTCCCATTCACAATTGCTTCAAAGAGAATAAAATACCTAGGAATCCAACTTACAACAGATGTGAAGGACCTCTTCAAGGAGAACTACAAACCACTGCTCAATGAAATAAAGGAGGACACAAACAAATGGAAGAACATTCCATGCTCATGAACAGGAAGAATCAATATCGTGAAAATGGCCACACCGCCTGGGCTGCACGATAGATTCAATGCCATCCCCATTAAGCTACCAATGACTTCCTTTACAGAATTGGAAAAAAAACTACTTAAAAGTTCATATGGAACCAAAAAAGAGCCCGCATTGTCAAGACAATCCTAGTCAAAAGAACAAAGCTGAAGGCATCACGCTACCTGACTTAAAACTATACAGCAAGGCTACAGTAACCAAAACAGCATGATACTGCTATGAAAACAGAGCTATAGACCAATGGAACAGAACAGAGCCCTCAGAAATAATATCACAGTTCTACAACCATCTGATCTTTTGACAAACCTGGGACAAAAATAAGAAATGAGGAAAGTATTCCCTATTTAATAAATGCTGCTGGGAAAACTGGCTAGCCATGAATAAAAAGCTGAAACTGGATCCCTTCCTTACTCCTTACACCAAAATTCTCCCAAGAGGGATTAGAGACTTAAATGTTAGACCTAAAACTATAAAAACCCTAGAAGAAAACCTAGGTAATACCATTCAGACATAGGCATGGGCAAGGACTGCGTCTACAACACCAAAGCAATGGCAACAAAAGCCAAAATTGACAAATGGGATCTAATTAAACTAAAGAGCTTCGCAATAAGGAAGAAACTACCATCAGAGTGAACAGACAACCTACAGAATGGGAGAAAACTGTGGCAATCTACTCATCTGACAAAGGGCTAATATCCGGAACCTACAAAGAACTCAAAAAATTTACAAGAAAAAAACAAACAACCCCATCCAAAAGTGGGCAAAAGATAAGAACAGACACTTCTCAAAAGAAGACATTTATGCAGCCAACAGACACATGAAAAAATACTCATCATCACTAGCCATCAGAGAAATGCAAATCAAAACCACAATAAGATGCCATCTCACACCAGTTAGAATGACAATTATTAAAAAGTCAGGAAACAACAGGTGCTGGAGAGGATGTGGAGAACAGGGAACACTTTTACACTGTTGGTGGGACTGTAACTAGTTCAACCACTGTGAAAGACAGCGTGACGATTCCTCAAGGATGTAGAATCCTGAAATACCATTTGACCCAGCCATCCTATTACTGGGTATATCCCCAAAGGATTATAAATCATGCTGCTATAAAGACACATGCTCATGTATGTTTACTGCAGCACTATTCACAATAGCACAGACTTGAACCAACCCAAATGTCCCTAATGATGACTGGATTAAGAAAATGTGCCACATATACACCATGGAAGACTATGCAGCCATAAAAAAGGATGAGTTTTCGTCCTTTGTAGGGACATGGATGTAGCTGGAAACCATCATTCTCAGCAAACTATCACATGAACAGAAAACCAAACACCGCATGTTATCACTCATAGGTGGTAACTGAACAATGAGATCACTTGGACACAGTAAGGGGAACATCACACACTGGGGCCTGTTGTAGGTGGGGGAGTGGGGAGGGATAGCATTAGGAGATATACCTAATGTAAATGATGAGTTAATGGTTGCAGCACACCAACATGGCACGTGTATACACAGAATAAACCTACACATTGTGCAATATAATATATACCCTAGAACACAAAGTATAATAAAAAATCATATCATGTGAAATAAAAATGAAAAATTTCATATAGAGGAGAACAGAATCTATAAATATGCATATTTGTGTACTTACATCCATATACATACATATGTGTGTGCATGCAGTAATTTTATTCTCCTAAAGCAAATGCCTCTGCCTTCCACCCTCACTGTACAGCTGTCCCAGTCCTGTGATGTCCCTAGAACTGAGCATCTGATTTCCCTTCTCTGCCCCCACATGAACAGGGAATAGAAATGGAAACTACGCTCTGTGGTTACTGTTGTGAAAATCCATGTCCCCCACAGGCTAGTTTGGCATCTTACGTTCCAGTTCCCATTGGTAAAAAGCAACAAACAAAACTACAAAAAGAAAAATGAAATATTTGAAAGTCTAGAGCCACAGAGGTTCCGGATTCACCCACCACCCACAGTGACCTCCTACGCCTCCTCCAGACCTGAGGGCAGTTGGGTTTCCTGGAATGTAGCCTGCCTCTTCACCATCCATGAAAAGAGGTGACCTTAAACTTCACAGATTTTACTCTGTTCAAAAGGAACCAGGTTTCAACATTCAAAGTCAGTGTAGGTCTTGACAACCCCCAAACTTTGGCCAGAAAGTATTGGAAACATTTAACGTGCAGGATGAAGGCAGCCTGGCCTCACTGCACAACACACTCGTGGGGACTCAAAGGAGGACACTCAAGATCCGCTGCGGAAGTAAGGACAGCACCTTTGTGAAACACGGGGTAGGGGGGTCAAACCAGGAAGGCTCAGGCCCTGACTCTCCTAGGCCCCTTGCTCCTCCAGAACTTTTGCAGTTTTTTTCTGACCCGGCGGGATTTCCAATGGATGGGAAAAGAAGTTCAGTATTTCTGGTCCAGCCCTGTAAGCTGCTCCTGTCGCCCAGCCTCTCTCCAACACCCTGCAGACGTCACAAATGCCTACCTCCCACTAACCCCACAAGGAAACTATGCATCGCCCAGAGACGGTCCTGGCCTGCAACCCCGCGGGATGGGGTCCAGCAGGGTCTTTGTCCATTTCTGGTTAAAATTGGGTTTCAAGGTTGGTCGCTGTCTTGGCCTTCCCTGCTTCCCCTCTGTTTACTTCTCCCCTCCTCACCCCATATGAAGCTTTTACTCAGGAGATGGATTATCGCCCCTCTTGGAACATTAAGGACACCACCAGGACACCGCACTGTCTCCTTGGACTCCTGGGATTCTGCAGACCCCAGTCTTCCTCTGAGGTCCCCTCACTCCCCACCTCATTTTTTCCATCCTTCTGGGGCCTGGGTCTGCTATACCTCAGGCTTCCTCTCTCTCTTCACAGTCACAGACAGAAGGAGCCCCCTTCATCCTTGGGCTCTGGCCACAGTTCACCTGAAGGAAGGACACTACGGCTTTCTCAGTAGTTCATCCAGACATCCAGATGGAAGTGGGATTTCCTGGAAGAAAAGCAGGACCCCAGAATTACACTGAATTCTAACACAAGAGCCCAGAGTCCCATTCTGCATGGGACATTAAGCTGCAAACACTACATAGGCACTTAATGCTCAGCTGTGCCCTTTAACATCTGGTCCAGTTGTGTCCCTCCTCCTTGGAATACCTCAGAAAATATATCTCCACCTAGAGTTGTTTGGGTGATCATCCCATGTGATTCCAGACCATCGGGAATACAATGGGTCCTCACCAGAACTTCCACTCTGCTTGGAAGATTCTAGGAAAATTCTGAGGCTGCTCAGAGGGTCAGATTCCCATTTCTGTGTTCCAGAAAAACTTCAGTCTTCCCCGGACAAGAGGAAACAGAAAATGTCTAGTTCTGCACATCTTTTGTAAGCAATGGCAGTCTTCTATGAACCAAAACTATCAATGAATATATTTTTGAGACTCTGGGTCAAAAAGAAGAGTCATTCTGCAATTTCAGGTAGGATGGAGTAGTTCTGTGGCTCCTGGAGGTGATTTTAGAAAAGATCTCTGAAGCTCACAAGAACCACGGAGGACATTTCTGGCATTTCCAGACCAGGAGGAGTGACTGATGGACCTCCAGTGTTACTAGGAAAACTTTTTGTTGGACAGCTTTGCTTTGGCTTTCAGGCCTTCACATAGGTTGCTTAGATCATGGAAGTGCTTCTGCATTTCTGCATAGGCTCGGGATGCCTTCTCAAGTCGGCCCTGCAATTATGAGACAGTTTCTGTCTCCAGAGGTCACTTGAATAACACAAGAGGCTTCACCTTCACAAAGGACACCAGACAATATAGCCACAGTTCAGCCAAGATTATCTGTGTTTACATACCTGCAAAGTAACACTCCTGGTTACTCTTCCCCATTAATGTGAACATCTTTCTCTGTGAATAGAGAAACTCTAGTGATTTATATAACAGCCGCTACAAAAAAATTAACCAATAAAAATAAATGATAAATGAAAAATATTTTACAATTATGATAGTGAACGCAATGACTCCAAATAGTAAGAATTTGAATACTGGTGACAATATGAACATAAGGATACAAAAATCAATGGGAGATTCTCCTAAAATATATGAAAAGTTCACAAATTCAAGTCCTCCTTGTGTAATTTGGAGTCAGAGTCAAAGAATTTCACTATGAAATGTGTTCCATGACGGCAAACATGAGAAACAGGTGAAAGGAAAGCAAGCCACAGGAGAGCATGGGCTAATAGACCACTTGTGTATAAACCTCTCTAGTCAAGGACTACCAGCCAGAGGTGAAGAGAGTTTGGCTTGTGTCTTGCCTACCACTGGGCACACAAAAAGCTTCGGTAGTGCAACCAGATGGCTGGTTTGGCCTGGCTCCCTGCAAAGAAGACATGGATCTCATCCCCACCAGCCCATCAGTCCTGGAACTCAGAATCCTACATGCAGTAAACATGAAGCTCCAACTCCATAGCTGACTTCACCTCCTTACTGTCCTTCTGCCATCCGCGTTTCCAGGTGCCTCCAGATCTGACTTCTTGGCTCCCCTACCTTTATCAAGTGAAGTCAGGACGTATCATTCTCAGAGTTCTCCTGCCAGTCCAAGGTGAAACTCACCAATACAGGCATACCCTGGATGGACTTCTTGGAATATTTAGAAAACCATGAGCTTGCTCGGGGAGGTGAGCTCTAGGGAGTAGAGTTACGGTTTCCCATGGAAACCTGAGAGGACTTAGAATAGTCCTGCAGAGGCCTACAGTCCAATCTGCCCTGGAAACATCAGGAATGATATACTGGTCTTCCTGAGGCTCCAAACTTTTTTCTAAATAAAACTCAGAGGTTACAGAACTATTTTTCTTTCAGGAACTGAAGTGGAGTTATTTGCCTTCTGCCAGCATCTCACTTTTTTTTATTATCTGCTAGCTTTGAGCCCAGAAGTAGATATTCCTTGTATTTGATTTTACACAGGAGCTCAGAATGCCCATGTCTGGATACTTTCTGCATTCACTTCAGGTATTCACAAATGCCGCAGTTTCATGGGAAAATCTATGAGATGACCATTTGATCACCCAAGCAACTTTAGAATGTGTTTTCTATGGAAGCCCTGGAGCCTCCTTCTAGTATTTCATCCATTGCTGGTACTTGGAGTACCTAGGTGAAACCTCCACTGTGACATGTCAGCAATTCCAGTATGGAGATGGCACTTATGTGATGGGGCTCAAGAATCAAATGGTAGAAGACCAGCCAGGAGGTGAAGTCTCAGTGCAGGCTTGGGGCTTAATGTTCGATGCACACCAGACTCCCTGAGACTCCAGCGGATGTGGATCTGTCTGCCCAGTGCTTCTCATTTACAGCCTGGACTAGCCATTCCTTGGGGTGAACTACTGAAAGCTTAGAAGGGCAGGACTTCTGGCCAGACCCTTTTCCATAGTCCATTTGTAATGTATTTCCACGTGGCACAAGACTTCCACTTTTGCCCAAGCCCTCATGTGTGGCTCAGAATTATTCTCCCTACTGCCACTCTTTTCACCACAGGAGATATTTCAAGATGCAGCCCAGCCTCTCCCTGTAATCACAACATGAGGTTCATATGGGAACAATGTCACAGGCTTACAGGAATATGCTCTAAATATCTGCTTTTTTATTATTCTCTTCATTAAATGACATTTAAATCATCACCATTGTGATTAGTTGTTATTAATGTTATTATTATGTGAGTACGTCTTTTTATCATGATATATTTGTGGTAGTTATTATGGAACGTTGGAATAATTTTTTTTTTTTTTTTTAAGTGTTCCCCAAGACTGTTGAATTTAAGGAAGATGATTAAAAGACAACCTTAAAACATACATACCACAGCAACCCCAAGACTCCTACTGTACCACCTGGTGTCCTATAGAAGCATGGGCTTCCTGAGTTATTCTTTTATTTTCCGGGCAAGTACCTATTCATACCAGCATAGGAGATGGATGAAGTGCACCCTGGTCTTGCCATGGGCTCAGAAAGAATTCATACAGATGCTTTATGTACTAGCAATCCCTCATGTGTTGGCCCGTGAGCCCCAGAATGCACTTTCTTTCACTAACTAGTCCACCTAAAAGTTTTCTAAGTTTAAATTTCCTCCATGCTTGATAGGTCATGAATGGCTTCCCGTTACCCACCTAAGATGAAGGATACTGCGAAAATCAGGTTTGTACAAGAAACTTTACCTGGAGTGGCAGGAGAGGGACTATCTGTTCACCAGAGTCTCTGCAACATTTTCTTTTCTTTTTCTTCTTCTTCTTCTTCTTTTTTTTTTTTTTTTTTTTTTGTGATAGTGTCTCGCACTGTCGCCCAGGCTGGAGTCCAGTGGCACAATCTTGGCTCACTGCAACCTCCGACTCCCAGGTTCAAGCGATTCTCCCACTTCAGCCTCATGAGTAGCTGCTACAGGTGTGCCACCACGCCTGCCTAATTTTTTTGTATTTTTAGTAGTGATGGGGTTTGGTGGCTTGGTCTCAAACTTCCTGACCTCGAGATCTGCCCATCTCGGCCTCCTAAAGTGCTGGTATTACAGGCACAGAGCCACCGCGCCTCAGCCTCTGCAACATTTTTCTAAGTCAGGAATATAGTTTCTGAACCACTCTTTTCAGTCATAGGAACTCATGAAAAATCCAAGAACTTGTGACCTTCTTGGAAATTGTCAAATCTCACAGGTGTCCAGAGTCATCCAGAGCTGTATTGCAAACCACTGACTGGGTTCCACCATTAGTAAAGCAAATGCAAAATATGCCATGCCCACCAAAAAGAATCCAGAAACCACGGTATTTAGCTCTTCCATCTTTCTTGCCTCTTTTGCAGCTGGGAGAGTACTGAGTATGATGCCCACCTACAGCCTCTGGAGTGACATGCCAGTGCCTAGAGGTACCAGTAGAGAGAGGGGCCATGAAAGAGCAGATGATAGCTAGGTGGCTGGGAATGACATTGTCCTGGGTTTATTGCTTGTCATGAACTCTGACACTGGGCAAACATGTAACTGTCTCGACATGTACCTTCTCTGGATCCCTGCTCCATCAGCCAGCTATCTTATCTCCTGAAAGCTGGTAGGTGTTGGTCATCATGGTGTTGCAGGACCAGGGTTATATTAACATTCCCTTTTAGGCTGAAACACCAGAAGTTAACACAGGAGTCCCCAGGTGTGCACATGCCAACCTCCAGATTCTTTTTCTTCTCTGCCCTAGATGTTCATCCTTGCTTCTGGGACTTGGAAATAACCCTACACCACCAAATATTTATGCCTATTATCCGTTTAGGGAAAAACTTTGTATGTCCCAAGTCCATAGGGTTAGTATTATTATCAGTATTATAACCACTAGTACTAGTATCATGATGATCATCATTCCTGTTAATATTCATCAATGAGACTCCAGTCTTGCTCTGTAGCCCGGGCTGGAGTGCAGTGGCTGGATCTCAGCTCACTGCAAGCTCCGCCTCCCGGGTCTACGCCATTCTCCTGCCTCAGCCTCCCGAGTGGACTACAGGCGCCCGCCACCTCGCCCGGCTAGTTTTTTGTATTTTTAGTAGAGACGGGGTTTCACCGTGTTCGCCAGGATGGTCTCGACCTCCTGACCTCGTGATCCGCCCGTCTCGGCCTCCCAAAGTGCTGGGATTACAGGCTTGAGCTACCGCGCCCGGCCAATATTCATCAATATTTTTATTACTACCACTGTTAATATGGATTTTTCATTATTGTACAGCAAGGAATATAGTTTATCCATTCACAAATGGTGTCTAGTTACTAAAGATGACTACAAGGCATGCTCTGCAGACATATACACACACAGCTGTCATGGAGACCCAGCTTTGCCATCAGTTGCTCTTTCATAAGATGAGCTCCCCCCAATA